ATAAAGTAGATTCGGCAGTTCTCCACCAACCATGTTGAGCTGATTTAGCTTTAAAAGCAGTTTGAAAAGATGGAGTTCAGAGGATGAACTTGCTAGCCTTCAACTTCCTAGCCAAAACAGCCAAAATATGTTTGTTGTTTGAGTTTGCACTGTAAATAACAGGCTTATGTCGCTAAAAAGTTATATTCACCAGTTAGCATTATGCCTTGAACTGTCTATGTCCATGTTTACAGACAACCGTGACTGCCGAAACCACAAGCTAGCCATTTGACTCAGTATTGGGGTGATGCCCCACCACTTTTTGATTGAGTTGATTGCATTGATGATTACATTGACTCAGCGGCAGAACCAATCAAAATCTCCTTTTCAGTTTAGGGGCAGTCATTTCCCAAACAGTGATTTGGTGACTGGTGCAGCTCACTAATCTGATAAAAATGTTTTTACTGCGAAACACAAACTAACGCACCTGGTCACAGTTTACTGAATGCCAGTTTAAGTCTTAATGCTTCCTTGCTATCTTAAGATTTGGTGATCTTCAGATATGTAAGCTAGCAAAGTCTGAGTGAAAACCATTGAACATGTTATCCTATCATAGCCATGAAATATGTAGCACTAAAAGTAAGTTTTAGTTAGTCAGTCATTGGCCTCGTTGGTATTTGTCAGTAAAAGAAATTTGTCATTTGTCTGTCAGTTGGTCTGCCGCGATCCCACTAGCAATCTCTGGGTTTTTCTTTGTTTTTGAACTAATAAATTTTGCCCCACCACTTTTGGAGATGTGGCACCACATAAATAAAGCACATCGTACAGACTACACTCTACATCTGCAAGCCTTTCTGAGGCTACTTTGAGGGAAATTCCACTGTTTTTTTCTTCACGATTTCTTCATAATTAAATGGGTAGGATGCCAACAATGTCATTCAGATGGCCTGATGTTAAATGTTCTAGAGAAACTCACTCAGTCAGAAGTGTTCGCAGCAGTGGTTACAAACATCTGACATCTAAAGCATCTCTAAAAGCTAAATTGTTGAAAGACGTAACATCAAATTCATCGATGCATATGAATATGCTGCCTGTCTGGAACGTTGCTTTATGATAGTTTTTAGATAGAAATCTGCTTCCTATCACCACTACCATAGATGAGTCTAAGCCGGTAAGTTTCTTGACAGTTAAGCATTTCACATTTCAAGACTCTGAATCACTTTAAGTCTCAATGATTGAATTATGCAGAAATCTTGAAAAATCAGGAATTCCCCTTAAAGAAAGAATTAGAGGTAAGCGTGTGATGATTTCATCATGCAGTTTAATTATTCGTTATTAACCTCATAGCTCCAGTGCAAGACACCAAACATGTCTTGACTGATCGGCTGTGTTTGTGTTAGGGGAAAATTGTGTAAATTCATGTAAGTGTCTTTATCTACAAACAAAAAGGACTTGAGGTGAATCGTATGTGTGAGAATTGGTCAGGATTTGGTGAGTATACAGTAAATTGGTAATTAGACTGTTTTCATCAGCCTGGACGTATTCGCGAGTTCCACTGTGATTAGATTCTAGATCACACTTGTGCTCAAAGGCTCCAACGGACACAAATACCCACCACATTCCGTATTTAATAGCACTTTAACACACTCGTACGCCTGCACAGAAGCCCATCCCGAAGTGCCCGCATGCACACACAAACACACATAGGCGAGCACGTGGAGCAGCAGCCTTTAATAACAGCACTAATCTGCACGGCTGCTATTGACGTTGTCCGTCAGCCAATCAAAATATTTGAAGGAAATGTTTATTTTCTTACAGCAATGGCAGCTGCCTCGGCCTCCTCGCTGAATAAGGCCTTTATACGCAAGAATTTACCATTGTAGAGAGAAAACCAGAGAGAGAGAGTGAGCAAGAGAGAGAGAGAGAGAGAGAGAGAGAGAGAGAAATATCACTGCTTTATGCTTGTGCCTTCATCAAACTGTTTACTTACATTCCTATTTCTGTTGCTATGCATTATAACCAGATAGGGCTGCATGATATGGACAGAATACCAATGTGATTATATTGCTATATATTGCAATTATGGTTGTCACGATTCGACAAATAGTTTCTAAGTTCAATCTGTTACAGTTTATCTTATAAAGGATTCATTTGCATATTGCAGCCTTCGGTGATATCACCATTACAGAGATCAATACTGCGATGTGGTTATCAAGCACACTACAGCCCTGGTATGTGTGTGTGTGTGTGTGTGTGTGTGTGTGTGTGTGAGAGAGAGATGGTTTGCCACAGTGTCCATGATACGTGATGGTTGGCTTGTAACAACTAACCCATCTCAGACCGAGAGCAAACAGGCTGTATTTGCATGTCAAATTGGCAGTTCAGTGTGGCGTGGCTGGCGAGTGTGAACTACACACACACACTCACAAAAAACACTCTGCATGCTATTTGCTACTCAGCAACATGATGGACAAGGTGCACACGCACACACATTTCTCAAACATTATCTTGGCTCGGAGATGACTGCTGTGTTCTCCCACATGAATGTGTGTGTGTGAGAGAAACGCGCAGTAGTGCTGACTCAAGACTTTACCGTCCAGAGATTTAAAGATATAGTGAGCAACACCTGAGCTTAAATCAGTCTAGAACAGATGTGGAGCTGAGCTGAACCTGGCTAAGTCCAGTAATGAACAGAAAACAAGGTCATCGGCACCCAGCAGTACTGAAGGGTTAACCCTTACAAATCGACTTATTGTCATCTTCTTATACATTCATTACATAGTTATTCCAGTGTAATTACATATGTAATTATATAATGAGTTGCATTTACATTTAGCTGTAATTATATAATTATTACATGGTTATACAGTTATGTAGATTTACATTCTGAATCAACAGGCTTGAGGCTGCACTTAAAATTTTGTTCTGTTTATTTCATACAATGATGTATACGTGGCAAACAAGTAAAGACTAACTTTTCATCAATTTTAAATCATATTAAATGATCTACTCTTCTAATTACAGACACAAATGTGGCATTGATTAAAAGTTTAGAATCCACAAGTTCAACAGAATTTCTACACTCGAGCTACAAGTGAGAAGTATTAATATAGAAGTATATTATCAAATATAGTATTAAATTACACCAAATTATACCAGATAAACCAAGGGAAAAAAACACAATTATATCCATTTCAGAATTCATTCTTTTGCTGAGAGTCATTCAGAGTGGTTTAATGTGAAATGGTTCATTGTGGGGAAACTTACCAACTCAGATTTCTTTACAGTGGTGATGGGAACTTTTACTCAATTCCTCCACTAGCTGGCGCTCCTTCTATCACATATTCCCATCTGACCTTTTCCTCTTGGGCTTCTGGATATGGACGGCTATGGCATTGCTGGGTTTCCAAGCTCACAATCTCCTGATGAATTGGGATGAATTATTAGACAGCTGCACCACATGAGACGATGCCATGCTTTAAAGTTAAATTAACAAATAGTTTCTCCAGTGTATAAAACATTTGTAGATTTGTAAAATCTGAGTTGCTTCATGTGTTCCTGAGTGGCGCAGTGGACCAAGCCTTCACCCCAACAGGAGGTTGTGAGTTCCCAGCGACGTCATAGCCATCCATAAGTGTGTACCCAAGAGAAAAAAGGCTAGCAGGATTGTGTGATGAAAAAGTCCTGGCTAGTGGGGAAGTTGAGTAAAAAAATATGTTTATTTTATTTACCTAACTGAGATGCAGAACTGAGAATTATGAGACTTAACTAAGAAGTTTGAGTTGGGTAAACTCAAGAAAAGCCATGGAATCAGTTACTATAGTTGAGCTGACCTCTCTTGCAGTGTATATGCAAACTACGCAAAACACGTAGGGCCTTCACATCTGCTGGAACATCTTCTGATAACTCCTGAACTGAAGCTCCAATCAGCTCGAAAACTTCTCACACCTATTAGCATATCACGGCTCTTAACACACTTTCACTCACAAATTTATAGACTTG